TCCTAAGGGGTAGGGACTAGTGCGGAAAACACTTTCCATCTCCTTAGTCCAACGCGAACTCAAATCCCTGGCAGTCCTTCCACTAACTGGCTCACCACCGGATCCGGGACCAAACCCTGGTCCTTCCCCATGTGTGCTCATCCTTATCTGGCAAAGCAGCTATCCCCACAATCAGAGCATAACCAAGAATTCTCCTTCCCATAAGCTTCTTAGATTTTCTAATACTCTCACCGATTCGAGTATGGATCATGTGCTTTCAGTAGTACGGGCCTAATACTACCTTCCACACCTATCCATACTTTCCTCAACAATCCTCCCGAATCCTCTAAGTCACCTACTCCACTGATGCACCAAATATTTGCTAAACAGCAACACGATACCCACCGAAGCAACTCCTAGCCTCCCCCTAGGTTCACAACCTCACCGAACCGCCCCACTAACTCACTTGAGCATATCCTAGGCTTTCCTAGGTTCCCAACCTCGTTGAAATGCCCCACCAAATCACTGGAGCATATCCTAGGCTTTCCAAGGTTCCCAACCTCGCCCTGCCATCATCTGTTGAAGAACTCCTCATGATGCCAGCCATCCACCTCCTGAATATCGTCATATTCACTTAGTGGCTGACTCCCATCATTCATGAGTTCCACAAAGCACAAAGAAAGCAACATTCGTGCAGTAGCACTCCGATCCAAAGAACTATCATAGGTTATTCAACCCACATACCACAACTCATGCCATCCACATCTACCCTCACTGTCGGCTTCCTTATGCATGCAAATTATACACAGAATAGGATCTAATGGACTGTCAAATAATAGACTCTACCCTAGGACCACAACCATACAAGGAACAGGAAATAAGGCCAAATCAGTTATTCTAAGGCTATAAGAACCTGACCGTATACAATTTTCAAAGCATACACTTAGCAGTTACTAATATGAATAGTCATTCTCATTCCAGCATGGCATCTAATACCCCCAAAGCTACAAGCATCACATATCAGGCCAATCTATCGCTGACTACTCAACACTAGCATACAAGTCTACCAGCTCATACAACATATAAAGGCATCTCTCCTAGCCCTAACTAGCATGTGATTCATAGATTCATAAATCAAGTCATAACAGATAACATATATTGGTATTCTGGGGAAAACTTACTTGAGCTCGGCCGATTGCATTCACCACACCCTTTCTTGTCTTAGAAAACTCTTTCCTTGAAAACATTTTTCTTTTGAAAACTTTACAGATCCTCGGTTTGAGTTCAGGAACACCCGAAAGTATGTCCGAATCCCTCAAACTAAGGCTCTGATGCCAACTTGTAACGACCCAAAAATCAAGGGTAAAAATTTCATTTTTCATTATAGTCAAAACACAGATATATTTTAAATCCAAGCTTTCCAAAAACATTGCTAATTAAAAACATTTATCAGAGTTCATCCCAAAATCAAATATTGCGGAAAACATGGGTGTGTGCGTTGTGATCAAGTTGGGCCTTTCCTTTCCAAACTGATGATACCTGAAACCATAAACAAAACTGTAAGCACGAAGCTTAGTGAGTTCCCCAGAACATATCCCACATAATCCACATAATCACATAAACCATATCAATCACATAAGACATGCATATAAACATATAAGGAAGTCGTGGAAACCCTCCAAGGTCTTACTCCGGGTGCCATAGGAACCCCCACATAGTCTTAGCCTAACTACCATATAAACCATACATACAAACATATAACGATGCCCTGGAAACCCTCCAAGGTCTTACTCCGAGTGCCATGGGAACCCCCACATGGTCTTAGCCGAATGCCTCAAGAAGCCCCCGTGGTCTTGACTAAGGATGCCATGGAAACCCTCCAAGCTCTTACACCCTAGTGCCTCGGGAACCCCCCGAGGTCTTTACTTAGGATGCCATGGAAACCCTCCAAGGTCTTACACCCAAGTGCCTCAGTAACCCCCTGAGGTCTTTCATGCAAGTATCACAAAACAACTAACATACCACATAGCATATAACCAACTAGTATACCACATAGCAAATAATAGGCAGGCCTTCGTGCCTTCGACCCATTGGTATGGTGAGGAGACTCACCTCTCACTGCTGAAGTCCCGCGAATAATAGGCCGGCCTTGGTGCCTTCGCGCAGCGTACTCCGAAGAAAATTTGTGACCATCCTGGTCAGTACGCCCATCGTACTCCACAGTACATCCCGCATACTGCCTTCTTCACTACTACGCCCCGCGTACTCGGCTACGCCTCAAAATCACAAAACTTCCGAAGGCCATAACTTCTTCGTTATAAGCCCGATTCCGACGATCCTTATATCCACGGAAAGGTGACGAGAATCCCTACACTTCTATCAACTCATACCTTTCTTATGACCATCCGAACAAAAATCCATTTTGCACAAAAGCCCGAACTGACACTTTACCTAAATACCCCTAGGATCCAAAACACGAACCGAACACCCGGATCACTTCTAATACATCAGCCGCACCCAAATGGGCCTATATCTTACCTTTTCAAAAGCCCTAATCCTATGATGACCGATCTTCGGGCCACTGCCTCAGACTAGGAATCGATTCGGAACAGGATGTTACATGTGTGTCATAAACTTCAGCAACCATTTACGATATGCATTTATGACACGTCTTTACGATACTCATTTATACATAATACAAAAATATGGAAACAAATATATACCAAAACAATCAATTTCATCCATTAACATCATGTCAAAAAATTGTAATACATTAGGATAGTATTTGCTGAGAGCCCAAACAGTTATATAAATCAATGAAAGTAAAACTCAGAAATTTTCTAGTTTTCATAATCCTAACAATAGTAGCATCAACCTGCAATATATTTAAAAAAAATGTTGTTGTAAATTTAAAATTACAAAAAAATTAAAGCAGTTTCGAAAAAAAATAATTGGACCTGATATTGACGATCTTGGAATACTCTCTCTGTGGTGCTTGCATTTTCTTCCACAGTTTCCTTCAATTGGATAGCATTCACATGTACATCGAATGAAATGGAATGATGAAATAAGCAAGGGAATGGAATGAGTCATTCCATTCCAATTTCATATGAACTTCACATTATATATTTTTATAAAAAAATTAATTGATCTCACCTTTATACGATAAAGAGGAGCAGTAAATACATCATTAAACATGAAGGAATCATTGTCATCCACTTCCCTCCATTTTGGAATCTGAGAAAAACATCAACAATATCAGTTAGTAGGCTGTGGAAAAGACATAAATGCAGCAACACATGCCCTTTCTGCCCCAATTTTATGAAGAACCTGAAAAATGAAAAAAAAATAATCAATGAGAGTACAATGCTATTTCTTACAAATGTGTTTTTGTTTTGTTGTTGTTGTTGTTGTGATAGAAATTGGGTGGGGTTCACCTCTCGACTACCAGCATCACCAAAGTATACAGGAAGGTCAAGTGAAAGTATATAACTATTTCTCACAGTTAACCCAAAAATTTATAAAAAGAAGTTCATATCCTTAAAAACTTTAAATATTACTTCAGTGTCCTTATAAACTTTGAAATTACATATATATCATTCTAAAACTATAAAATTCTCATATATATCCAAACCTAAATTTTAATTTGGATTATGTCAATTTATTTCTTTATTATGCATCTTACTTTCATTTCTCTATTTTACAACTTCGTACCTTAAATCTTTTTCTTATCAAGATATGGCACTTTAAAAAATCACCCCAATTATAGCATTGTACTTTCAATCTTTTTCTTACTAAAACAACCATTAAAAATCCACTCAATCATAGCAGTGAATTCCTTCATGTTTAAATGACATTGTTATGATTGAGTAGTTTTTTTTAATACAATGTTGTAACAGAAAAAGAAATGAAAGTACAATGCTGTAATTGGGAAGGAAATGAAAGTAGGATGCTATAACGGGACAAAAACTACTAGTGAGAGAGAGAGAGAGAGAGAGAAGGAATACCTGGCAAAGGAGGATTTTCATGCTATAACAATTTGTAATGTTTTTTTGTTACTTTTTCTTGAAATGATCTCTTCCCATGTGGATTATGGTACTCATTCAACTACACATTCTGTTTATCTACAAATCAAAAAAAGTCAAAAGGTCAACAGATTATCAGAAAAAGTCAAAATGAAAAAAAAAACTCATACTTGGTGAAAACTCATACTGAAGTAACCTGAATGTACAAAGTTCAAGTTTGAAAAACTGAAATCATAAGATAATGTTGTGAGGAAAGTATTATATTATACCTCTTGAAGAAAATCTGCAACGTTTTTCCTCTTTGGGCAACGAAAACCCATAGAAGCAAAAAAACTAAGAGCAGCATTACGAGGTCCTTAGTAGACAATTTGACCTTCACATAACAAAATCAAGTCATCAAAAAGCTCAAATGTCTTCGGGTCTGGTTTCAATAAGGAAATGACAGCTGTCCCATCAAGAGCACGAGTTGAGTGCTTAAGATATTTGATGATTTGATATGTGGTTGAACTATCTAGCCCTGTTGATATATCATCCATAAATAGAACCCTTGAGAGTCCTACTAGTAGTTCTCCTGTGTAAATTAATGGTGAATTATTCAATACACAAAAATAGTAAAAGTTAAATGAAATGGAATATTATATATATATATATATATATATATATATATATATATATATATATATATGATGGTTTACTTACCTGAAGTCAACCGTTTCATAGGGTTGGATTCATATATACTTGCATATATTCACTAAACGACGCCTAATCAACAACAGATCAAGGTTAAAAAAGAAAAAATTGATATATTATAAATTTATAATCATATACAAGAAAAGTTGAAAACTTAACCTGATGATATTATCAAGTGTAAGTTCATCATTGAATAACTTTGCAAATCCCAATATTTCCTCATTAGAAACAACGACACCTGTTTTGGCCTGTATCATCACATTGCAAATATGTAAACAAACAAGCATACTTTGGAAGTGGTGATTACTACACTCTTTCCTTGCTAAGAAATTCATCAAGATCCTCTGCTGTTTTCTTAACTTCTCCACTCCTGATGTTTTGGATCTCTTTTGCCATCTCTTTAACTGTATCTTGAAGAAACTTTGCATATTCTATTCTTGCATTTAGCTTTCTTTTCAATGCCTCCTACAATAAAATCAACCACCACACTTGTCCACACAACTCAATAAAAATCCTCCATAAAGAGAAAAACTTTAAAGAGTTTTAGAAGACTAGGTATAGGTAGTTGATTCAATTAAGATACCCGTTCTTTCATCATAACCTGAAAAGTAGAAGGTAACATGTTGTGGAATACTTTCAAGAATATTGGAAGCAAAAACTCCATGAAAGGTACGATGATAAAAACAGCAACAGGAACAAGTCTAAAGATATCTGCAGTGGTTCGTGTGTGTTGTTGTCTCTCTCTCCTTAAGAGACTCTTTCCATTAGCAAGCTTTAGAAGCATTTTGGAACTGATCCTCACATCAGCACCAAGGAGCTTAATCCCAACCAATAATGCTTCATGCTTGATACAAATTCATTTTTCCAGTGACTCATTTTCTTACCCCAATCTTCCCTTCTCAATACAAAGTTAAAGAACAAATGAGACTTACACAAACACAAACACTTGTTGGAATTTTAACAGAAAAAGTTATCTGCTCATGGAAGCCACAACTCTTAGAGCTGGACGAATACCTGATAACACACCACATGTCCTGTGGAAAATGGATTTTGATTCTTTCACCTTTTTGGTTTTTGCTTTAGCCTTGGAACTGCTTAAGCCCTCAACAGCTTGATCGCATTCCTCTGGAGATGGCGGTGAGCATGGAGGACTCGTTAGTTGAGGAACTGAAGATCGAGAGAAGTAGATGGAGGTTCTATGAACCGAAACCCTCGTTCCAACAATAGTTGTGGTTCCAACAACTGTACCCCTTTGATTTCAATTTCATGGCCAGGTGACCAAAACACCTTAGATTTCACTAAGAACCGGAACCCTAGTTCCAACAATAGTCGATTTTGTGGCCCTATATAGATTTTTAGGCACGAGACTCCTTGATTTCTGTCGACTGGTGTGGGAAAAATGAGAAGCGACCTTGGTTCTCTGATTGAGGGTTTTTGGATATTTGACTGAGTGAATTAGAGTGGGGGCAGAGAATGGGTGGAGACATCGGTCGGAGATCGGAGATTTGGTGATGGTGCGATGTTGTTGTGGGAGAAAATAGCAGTGACGGTGAGAGAGACATCGGGGTTCTCCGATTGAGCGTTTTTTTGGTATTTGATTGTGAGAGAGAGAAGAACGATGGAAAGAAAGTAGAGGAGAACATGGCGGCTTTTCAAACTTTTGGGAATTTCATTTCCCCCGTAAGCTTCTAAAGAAGAGAACGTGTGTTGATGAAAAAAATATAAAACGACTTGCGTACACGACACACATTTTATCATATGCGCCCTCCGTGTTTTTTTTGGACACTAATTTTAGGGCAAGCACAAATGTGTGTCCTCTATCCTTCAAATTTTGTGAGAGCTGACATATTTTTTAGGTCACACACTTTAGCGTATCATAAAACCATGCGTGTCATGGTTCACGTGTCATTAAAGGCCAGTTTTCTTGTAGTGACTAGTGGGAGCATAGTGAAATTCCTAATCTTGTATGAATAAAACATACTTAATCATTTGAAATCGCATTCTGACTAAGTGAGGTCATTTTCACCTTGACTCGGAAAGTGTTTCTAAAATGAAAGACTTAGGAAGGAGAAGATACATTCTTGGAATGTAAAATCTATAAGGGATAGATAAAATGAATGTTTTAAGTTTCATGTCCTTATACATATATTGGTAATATCTTGAAAGGGATCAAGACACAAGATTCTTTTGGAGAATTCTTGGCATTGTCATATGGCACCATTTTGAGCTAGCCTCAAAAGTATATAGCCCATAGGCTTGAACTAGAAGAAATGATTTATATTCTATTTTCTTAACAAATGAATTCATCATTTACGCCATATTATGCATAGGATATGATATTTGATCATGCTGTAAGCATGTCATAGGATACTAATTGAATACATTGTTAAGTCACTGGATGACTAAGAGAGCATTCTAAGAGTACTTTAGAAGAACTAAGAGAATGTATATGAGACAATCAGTTTAGAAAGGATATTTATGGAAAGAGCTTTACAAGATGTTAATTTCTAAACAGATATAAATAATTATGAATTATAACTGGATTTTGACTTCATTATGGAATGAAGAGTAAGTCTTGTTGGAATGAGGTTCAAGCAAAACATAATGACAAAATCTACTACAAAATAAGAATACACACTTTAGAAGTTGAATTCAAATATGATTGGATGAATGGGATCATTGAAAAACTATGTTGATTTCTGCCATTCAAGGATCACCTAGAAATCTTTGTGACTTCGAGAGTATACTTAATCAAGCTAAGAGACTCTATTTCACGAAAGAACACCAATCATATTCTCCAAGATATTTAACTGTACTTAGAGTAAAGTTAAGTATGGAGATGATAGTATTCACAGGATTCATACAAATTAAATTTTGTCAAATCCATTGATAAAGTCATTCTTTTGAGCTAAGTGTGAATGGTCACACTTCAGCTATAAGACTTTATTATTCGAGAAATGGGTTTTTGATTTAGATTTAGTATTTGGATATTGGAACATTATAACAACAACTATTAGATAATGTTATAATATATTAGGATATAGTCATGACATAAAATACTTGTTGTGTTCTATATTAACATGTTTAATCCATGAATAATGTTATTATTCTAAAAGTTCATAGTCAGTTATAATTGTGGGAGCAGTTATGAAATAAGACTAATATGAATTGGATCGGTTGACTCTCACTAGATGAAAGTAGGCAAGTGGTTGTAACCAAGTTTCATAGGTACTTGTCAGAGAACTAATATTGAACTGACCTGCATCAAGATGATCTCATGGATCGCTATCATGAATGATACTTGATTAAAACGTACTATCTTTGTATCCTTAACACCTGAGATACATAGTGGGACTTAAGTGTAGGGAGTACTATGCTTTGATATGGTCAAATGTTGTTCCTTAACCGGGCAGTTATAAAAGCCATTTTCAAGTATGGTGTGAACTATGCAAGAGGCTTATGTAGTCAACATGGGATTTTTTCCTCTTATGTGTTGAGAGTTTGACATCTAAGGCGCCTTACCAAAAGTTGAACAACTAATGAGATTGATCGCAATCGGTATCTCATGTTCAACATGATGTCTGTAGAAAAGGGATAACTGATAAACTTACCTTATACACCAATTGTAGCTTTGATCTTTTTGGGAATTGGGCGCTGATAGAATGGCACAAAGTCGTATGTTGTTGGGGGCAGTGAAATATTGCTAGACGTTCACCACTGTCTATATCAGTCTAATATGATTCTTGCGCAAGTGGGAGATTGAAAGGTCTAGTATGCTCAAGAATCATATTAAAGTGATATTGCTAATTAACATATGATACTAATGGGTCATACTAACAACAACTTGATATAAATGATTATTTATTAGAAATTGATTTTAATAAATATTCAATAAACTCTTATAATTAAATTGGAAATTATTTATTTTATGGAAATAATAATTTTCATTAGTAAGTAACATAATATATCATATAGTATGATTTATTAAGTCATGTACAACATTTTGGACCAAAAGGACTTTTTATCTTTTACCAAAAGGTTAATGTTTATATTTTATAAAAGAGTTTATAAAAATTACCAAGTTTGACTTCCTTTTAATCATCAAAACCATGGGCATGCTTGCATGCATGCTAGTGATGGGTTTTTGATTATTTACAGAGAAAGAAACCATGCTTTAAAGGCATGGGAGACAAGTAGGCTTTAGGAGACATTATTGTATTAAAGTGTTAAGGACTTATGGTCCATAAAATCACTTTATGCATATAAAAGATGAGGCTTGCACTCATTCTTCTTCACTTGATGCAAGTGGTCGAAACTTGTTCTTTTTCTCTCATTCTCTCTAGTTTTGCTTTGAAGACTTGGAGATTACTTGCTTTTAAATGCCCTTTTTAAGTTCAGACTGGTTATGAACTTAAAGATTAAGGGTTTAAGAATTTATGGACTAACATCTACATCAATTTGAGTCATTGTTGGTGTCTCAAAGATTCCACATTCTTCATCAACTTCCAAGCCTCCCAAGAGGACCCAAAGAACAACAAAGGTTATTATTTATTCATCCTTTCTATGGTTGGTATTTAATCTTTCTATAACTTGCAAGAAGATCCTTGGTGGGTATAAAATGTTTATGTTATTTCAAAAATTAAAGTCTTCCGTTGCCATTATTTTCTAGTTTATGAAACTATTTTTGAACTAAAACCCAACACAAAGGGGTGAGGCTTAACCCATTAAGCCCTTAAACTCCAAAAACATAGACCCGAAATGCAGATATGACATCCAAAGGCTAGGAAATCACGTAAAGTTTCCAACTTTACATCCATGCATGCTAGAAGAAAGCTCTAAGGCTCAACATGGGCTTAATAAATTGCATGAATGGGACCTAGAGCTTAGTAAAGTTTGCAACTTTAAGCTAAGAGAGGTCATGAAAGGGTCAGATCTAACATAATAGCCCCTGGAACTCTTGACTTCTTGGACAACCCAACTATAAACCCAAGAACAAGATAAAACTTCAAACAAAGAGGTCTAGAAGATAACAAAGCAAGGTATCGACTTTATACCTCAAAAAGATTACAACAAATGGAGAGTTTCTGGATCTATAACCCTCCTTCCAAACTAGACACCTCCAACTTCAAAGCTACTTCCAAGGAACACCAAAAATCAAATCTCCAAGCTCAACATAAGCTCACACACACAACCTTTGAAGATAATGCACAAAATTAGGGTTTCTGGACAGAGGATGTTGGTAAGGAGGCAAACCAAGGGACTTAAGGTCTTTAAATAGGGTGCAAAACCCTAAAATTAGGATTTCTTCATAGCCGCCAACTCGCTGAGTTGGCCCAAAAATGCCCGCAGCCAAAATCCCCCTCGACACGACGAGTTGGAGCTTCTAACTCGTCGAGTCCCCATTGAAAATACAATAAATTAGGGAATTAAGCTAATACCAGATCCAAGCATTAAAATAAACACCTCAAAGTGACTGAAAGGACAACTTAAAGGGGTTAGAGTAGCTCATACTCCAAATACCTAAATAATGGGACCAAAATGACCCAACTCTATGGCTAACTTAGATCTATGCATAGAATCATCAAGTTCATAACTTTATACCTCAAAATGGATCTTGAAGGCGAGGTGTTCCTGGATTTAGAAGGCCTTGATCTCCCAAGATGATGCTTCTTTCTTCATTTTTCTTCAAAAGCACCAAACACACACACTTTTGAGCTCAAATGATCACACACAAGGGATTAGAGTTTCAAAGGACGAAATGAAGGTTGGAGGCTGAGGGGGGAATGAGGAATGAAGAGTTAATCATGCTTATATATGGATCAACCCCTAAAAATTAGGGTTTGAGGTTTCATTACGTACGCCCAGCGTACTAGTGTCCGCCCTAGTACGCTCAACATACACAACATACGACCATCGTACTACCCCCTGTTCAGAATTACCAAAATGTCACTCTGGGCCATTTTGCACTCTTTTCTTGTACTCAATGACTAAAATGATATACTTGTCCATACATAGGGCTAAATGTGAAATTACCTCAACATCGGGACGTTACAAGTGGTCAATACAATTTCATAGGTTATTGATCTAACCATATATAAATAAAGAACGTATATAGTTGTATTTATACGTTCATATTAAAATATGATTTATGTTTAAAAATTGACTAATTAAATAAAGGGATTTTTTAAAACATTTTAGTTAGACGGAGATATATTAGTTAAATTTATAAAAAAAAAACCATTTAAATAAGCTAAACCTTTCAACTGGTCATTTATTTGGAGGTCAATATTAGTGAAATGATGAGTTGCATTTATTTTAAGTAATAAGATAGTGTAAGAAAATTAAAAATATATTGATCAGTCTATATATTGAGTAATCAAAATAGAAAAACAGAAAAAAAAACTATGTAGTTAACTGGTAATAAGTACTCGATAAATAAATTATAAAAAAAACTTTCAACGAAAATTCTTTGAAAAATAATACGTTTTATTTAATATTAACATATGATCAAATTATTTTTTATAAATATTAATATAGAATTTATACCGAAAATAATATGTAA